GCCTTCCCCATCGTCGACCTGCAATGACACCGACCATCGTGGGCTGCTTGCTGTATTCAGCGTCGTTACTGGCGTTTCAATGGCTGGGGTAGTTGACAGTGAATGCTCACTGCCCTAATCAAATATTAATCGCTCATTGTTGTCACTTTAAAATATTTAGTATTTCCTTCGATCGTGCTGGATCGGGTGATCCTCGTCGTAGTCGCTGTTCTACGATGGGCATATTGGCGCACTTATGGACACCTTTTCGTCGGCGTCCCAGTGTTCGTGAACGTGCTTTTTGTGGCATTTGAACTTGACTGCAAATTCCCGCCCACATTACCATATGGAATTATTATTACTAGTAGTATGAAGTTTATTTAAATTCGCTTAGAAGTTTCAGAAAAGTCGATCGTCATGCCAATTTTCAAAATTGGGCACCCTACTCCTCTGCCAATATTTCGATATGCTGACTAGCCCACACCACGTATAACATTATTGCGGATGGCGTGGGCTAATCCGTTGTTAATAATGTTTAGAGTTGGCTGAGGAGTAGGCTCCCCCGATCGCCCGGAAGCCATTTCGCCCAAACATACGGTAGCATCAAATGGTAGAATCAACTATCACTGCCACACATCGTAATTCGTTTTCACACAGGCTAGAAGTGTATTTGATGGTGTTGTGGTGAGATGCACAGTGCCGGTGGTGACAAGCGCTGCGCATATCATCACCATGCTACCAAGTACCGTTCTAGTGACCAAATCAGTGTGAAAACTGGTGGCCGTTGGTGGTCGATTTAGAGGAACACAGAGTCGATGTGGCATGGCTAGTCGTGATGATGTACCACATGTACTGTACAATGGAGTGATGGGGTGGTCACATGTCCAGCAATCGTAGTCACTGGGGTAATATTAGCAGGGTTTTTGGGCATTATTCTGGAGCGTAGGGGTGGGATGGTAGTGGTGGATGGTAATCACTTTGACTGCTAGTCAGTACCACCACCACTCGACCACCCACGCTCCAGAATAACGATAGTCAAAGTGATGGTAGTGGTCCATGCCAGGGAACGGTAGTTGTGACTGCTGGGGCTCCAGAGGCCGTGACTGGGATTCATTACTATGTCTACTCCTGATCTCGACAGTGAAGCTGTATGGTGGTGATTGCAGGGTAGCTTTTGCCGTGCCATGCTACGAGAGTAGAAGTTGAGGTAACGGGAGTTGGTTAAGCAGGATGGGTGGGTGTGGGTTGTATGCATTATTTGGCGAGCATATGCATTACTAGTGTACTTGGGTGACAATTTGTACAAATTTGGAGTACTTGACAGAAGAATTAATGCCAGCGTCCCCACACGAGTGTAGAATGACCATTTACTCACTTCGAAGTACATGCTTGCCGCACAGCACCTCCATGGAGATGAGATAGCTTGTTCATTATTTGGGGGGGACTACATTTTGCCGGAAAAACTTTGCACGCCTATAGTCGTGGCCGCAGGAGCGGCGGTGGTGGTCGTGGCAGTGTAGCCAGGTTCCGGGGTCGTTCCGTACTATTGTACATGTACTGTACGTCCTAGCGTACGCTTCGAGTGCGCAGGCTCCATTGTCGTGGTGGTAGTCACGGCGAGCCGAAGCGCGAGCGCCAGGCAAGGTCAGCACGTTGGCGTACTAGTAGTACGTCATCAAACAAGTATCGTCTTGAAAGCTTAAACGCGATGCATGAAAATACCTATTTTCTAGCGATATGATTGGCCCAATCAAACGTAGTGCAATATGCATTAGTAACGTTTTATCTATTTCCTTGAACAAATAGTTTCTCAAATTTACTGTTAAGTGAAATTAATTAAATCCTGGTCAATTTGTTTTCAACAAGTCGAAAATATACTGTAATGCGTCGTGTAACTGAGCTCATCGTAAAATATCCTTTGACACAATCTTGTTCGTTGGGGGTGGGCCTGGATTTGCCTGTCCTGCTGATGCTCTACCTTCATGTTGACTAAGTCGTCGTACAACAAGCGACCTTTGTACTTCCTGGGTGCTTCCGTCTCGTATTGGCTGCCGCGGAGTAGGAGCAGTTCTCGCATGGCCACCGACAGCGGATACATGTGACTTAGATGCATGAATGCGTGTTAGACGAGATCGAAATCAAGGTTCGTTCATACCGTGAACGGAGAATCCGACTGCAGAGAGAATTCGTAGGAGGTCCTAGCACAACGGCGCGAGCGTGGCGATTTATCAGCGGTGCATAAGACAATTACGTACCTGTGTATTAAGCAATTGGGACAAGGTAACTGGGGTGATGTCCCTTGAGTTGCAGGATGGCGCTGGGCTCCCTCGTAGCGTTCTCACATTGTCAACGACATTCGACTTCTTTCTAATTTTCAACTGCAACTCCTGGATTATGTACACTCGACAAACCTGAAATATCACATAATGAACTTATGTTGTTAATATGCAATATTACAATAACGTTATCAATTTTAGGTGACATCCAGAGAAAGTGATCTCAGATCACTTTCTCTGGCAGAAATCGCCAGAATTGGCTGAAATTGTACTGGATTGTAGCCAATTAAAAGACGAGTTCGTGGCTATTTTTAGATCAATTTTATTGGTTGAGATGACTTCACAACGCTCGGCCAAAGCTTTCAACTCAGCCCAGCCAATCTTTAAACACCCGTAACTCAGTCATTTCTTATCCAATCAAGTTCAAATCAAGCGCAAACGACTCGTCCCGTTGCGTCGATACTGCTAGAGCTAGTGGGCGGAGTTCCGGCAGCAAGACGATGTGGAATGGCAAGATCGGGATGTGGCCGTTCGTGTCCGAGGTCCCTGTTCAACGAACCAACAAGAACGGACATCGTGGGACCATAGCCACGTCCCCAATCATAGTGACGAAGCCTGTGTACCGCGTTTTTCTCGTCAACAATGTAGGCCGTGAATCAAGCAACTTTGACCTCGACGGCGCGACGTGCCTGTTTACATTCAGCAGGACAATGCGCGCCCACATATTCAAGTTGACGACTTGGCAGTGCCTACTGCTGCTACCACTGGCGGCTGGAGAATCCAACTTGTCGCCCAGCCAGCCATGAGTCCCGACTTCAATGTGCTCAACCTAGGGCTCTTCAATTCAATCCAAGCACTGCAGCATCGCCAGGTGGTCACCTGCATCGACGATCTCGTTGCAGCCGTTCATGCGGCCTTCGATGAGCTGGACTTTTGTACTTTGGACAAGACGTTCGTGACTCTTCAAAAGGTCATGGAAGAGTCTTTGAAGGTCGGTGGAGACATAACGTACAAGTTGCCACGTTTGCACAAGGACAGGCTTGCAAAACAGGGATTGCTGACATCTCAATTGGCGTATGACTCAGACGTTTATGTGCCATCGAAGCGATGAATAGTCTGATGGACTTCGAGCGTAGAGTAGATAACCTATCGAGTGTGCTTGAGTCGTGTGTGATTGATGGTGCAATCAATACGTCGAATATTGATCAACTCTGCACAATTGTGCAGGATTTGAGCACAGATGAAAACTAGGCTCATGATATCATGTTCACTATCGTCGTATAATCTCAAATGTGAATAAAAATACACTTTTGGCATTTTGAAGGTATACAAATATGAAGATAAAATTCTGTCGAAAAGCAATGGTCTCCACCTTAACGGAACAGAAGAAGTACTACGTAGTACTATTAATAGTACAACATTAGTACAGTATGTGAATCGGCGGCCATGGATGTACAGTACTAGTACGCGTGATCCGTTC